AAAAAAAAAAAAAGACTTCGAACCTACAGCAACATCCCATTTTCAGAAAATACTACCCACTTTCATCGCACGTGTACAAGATCTCGGCAAGCAGCAGAATAGTACTGCATATGCCACCTTAATAGGAATTGTTGATTGAAATCGCTCATACTTTATGCTTTTTGAATCGCACATGTGTTGCTCAAGTCATGTCAAATGGTTGTAATCACAGCATAAGGCCTCGAGCATACTTCGCGCAAATTAGTACTGAAGCCACTTTCTATGACTAGTCTAACTTCGCGCAGAAGGAGTATTAATACGTTTGCACCGACTCGCAGGTGTGAGCTTATGCGTTCATCCGGTGAAATCTGAGCGAGGTATGCTTCGTCTCTTAATAATTGTTGAGCATTTATGGGTTAAAGGAATTCTCTCAACAATAAACGTCTTTCTGTACAATTAGTCTACCAACATAATGAAAAGTCTTCAAGCGTATAAGAATCTTTATAGATTGCGTACAATCTCACCCGTAAACGCCACTAGAGTATACAGAGTTAGCAAACACATAGTAATGAAAACAGTATGGCCAAATATCGCATGCGAACATTACAACGTAATCAAATTAGGCAATCGAAAATAGTATGTAATGACAGATGACTACAGAACATCGATGATGCAGAAGAAACTACAGAATATAGATGAATGCAAACAAAAAAACGGAGACCTGAACTAACCAGAAAGCTGTGGTTGTTTCGACTACTCAGGCAAAGACAACTGATGCATATTTCAATAATTGCGGTAATCACTCGTTGTATGATGAAAGACTTGGAAGGCTAGCTAAACTCTCTGCTAATACAAAAAGAGCTTTGCAGGTGGTTATCGTCGGCTTCCAGTTATGAACTTTGTTTAGAGACTATTAGCCTAATTGCAGCACGAGCCAGCATGGACCTTTTATGAATAAAACTTCGCGAGTAAACTTTTATAACTCCACAAACTTTAAAACTGTGAACTGACGATAACTCTTCTCCAAGCTAGCCTTATACAACGAACCATGAATTTTCTGTCTAAAAGAGAAGAAAATTTTCATATCAGTAGGCAATGAAAATCCTATCTTGCGAACTCAACATAAGGAACACTGACTTGTAAGAAGTATAGCAGCATGCATTTAGAAATTGGCGGGAAAGTAAAAGCAATAGGAACCCACAAATTGTATGAGCCATCTACGAGCGCATGTCTTTCAATGAAGCCATGTTGAGCCTCAAAGTCATTTGCTTGAAATTACGTAGGTTTCCAATCTCTCTGAACATTGCAGCTACCAGAGGAGAGTCACCGTTTTCCATCCCATTTAGAACAGTTCTGTAATTTTTGGATAATGAAAAGGGTAATCGATGCGTGATTATCACCTCGTCTCAGCGGAAAATTCTTTTGCAAAGAAAAACAA